TTTTTTTTCAATTATTTGTATCATTATTATTATGTTACTGTTACCAACTATAGCTGTCACTTTGATCCCAGTGCCAGGCACAATAACAAATTAATTTAGCTAATTAATGGAGAGAATTAAACATTAAACGTAAATAATAAATTTTATAACCTCATTTATGATGACATTTGCAAATAAGCAAATATAAGTAGTCATAAATGGTAATAAAATGTGACTCTGGAGACAGTAATGATATAAAGTAGATTGCTGAGTCATTAATTACCCCACGTGATGATTCCAGCCTTAGGACTGTGTGATTGTGTTGTTTGGCCTTTTCTTACCTTCTTTCATGAGGAAATACTTCACCAATAATTCTCTCTCTGTTCCACGTAAGGCAATAAAAATGATCACTTCAATCATCAAATGTAAATTGGTGTTTTTCCAGCTCTGGATACCAAAGGGAAGGTGCTGAGAGTGCTGCTGTCCATAGGGAAGTTTGTTGTCCTCCTGGGTCTGCTCTACATGTTCATCTGCTCCCTGGACATCCTCAGTTCAGCCTTCCAGCTGGTTGGAGGTAAACCCTCACGTGCACGTTTACATAATGACGTCAAGTCATTTCTCAGGTCGAGGGCTGTGTCAACACTGTTGCAGATTCAGCTGGTTGTAATTTCTCCTGTTCGTACTGGACGTGCACAGAGTGACCCTCCGTTCTTCTCCTTTCCACTTGTTTGTGTGTCTCACAAGGGTTTCATGTTGTGTGATCTGTGTCGAAATACAACAATAGGCAGAAAGGCATTTTCTTATTATTCATTGTACATTTACACACACGCATACACACACACAACAAAATCGGACTTCTGCACTTAACTCATCAGAAGGGAATTCCTTGGTGCTGACTCGACACACCTCAGCCAGGGCGGGATTCTAACCGGCGCCTTTTCCAATCTCCGATAACAAACCCGATACTTGATTAATTATAAAAAAGGCTAATCTCTTTTATTGGTTTCAAATGCAGAATAAAAAAAGCTACTGTGCTCAAAGTTATCGGCAGCTGTCAATGAATAATAAAAAATAAAAGATTTCTCTTTACCTTATCTTAATATATTTACTCATTACATGGTTAATGGCTGCTGACTGTCCCCACGTCCAGGTCAAAGTCACACATGTAAAATTGATTTGTTATAGTTTGACAAATGTATTATAATAATACTAATACTAATAAATACTATTAATAAACCGTGATTTAAAACTGGAACTAGAATCTGCTTTAAACTGTGTGGTGAAAAGTAAGACTATGTGTGTGTGTTTTTTTTTTCTGCTATAGGGAAAACAGCAGGTAACATCTTTCAGGACAATGCAGTTCTGTCCAACCCATTAGCAGGTCTGGTCATCGGTGTTCTGGTCACTCTGCTGGTGCAGAGCTCGTCTACGTCCTCCTCTATAGTGGTCAGCATGGTCTCCTCTGGATGTGAGTGAGATACACACACACGTACGTTCATATGGTCACAAAAACAAACAACAACAACACTGCGTAAATGATGTTGTTGATGATGAGGAGGAAATGGCGCATTAGAAAAACACATGTTTGTTGGCAGTGCTGACGGTGCAGGTGGCTGTTCCTATCATCATGGGCACCAACATCGGGACTTCCGTCACCAACACACTAGTTGCGATGACACAAGCCGGTGATCGCAGTGTATTTCGGAGGTAACTATATTTCTTGATACATTTTTACTTACGACAACTTTCACTTTCAGTTCAATGACGACCACCGACCGTAAATAAGATGGTCAAAGTCGGCCTACAAATGTTAACAATAATTTAAGCTCTAATTTTTGCTTAATAATTTAAGCAATAAATTAAGCTCCACTGAATATTTCTCCCCATTAGTAAGAGAACATTTGAAAGAAAGTTGATTTAAATCCATAGACAAGAGACATCTCCAACAATTCACTTCTCTAAGAAGGAATTATCTGATGGAAACACTTAAATGGAAACTATGGAAAAACATTTTAGGGACAAGGGACTTGTCTTAGAACTTTTTGA